AGTGATTATCTATATTTCTATATTTAATCAAAAATGATGAGAGGTTTTAGAAAAAAGTCGAAAAGGTTATCAGTTGATTTTGATTTTTTCTTTGCTCAAACATATTTTTAATGGCTTGATTGACCTATCTTAAAAATAATATTATAATATTATTGGGCCAAAAATAATATTGGCTCCGCTGGCTACAAGGATATGATGTTTTTAAACTGCATCTGAGACCATCGTCGACAATAGAAACCATTCCTTTTTCCATCGTCTAAATTCCTATACTGCTGATTCTCCTATGAGTTCAAAATCTTTTCTGACCGCATCAGTACAGGTTTTGATTGGCCCACCTCGCTTTTAACGTCAGTGGTCACCCACGGCTTAGCAAGTAACGAAATATGTGACAACTTTTGAAACGACGGAGAACGTGCCCTAACCATCCAAGACGATGCTTTGTGATGGTACTATTAATGCAATTGGTATTTGAATGAAGGTATTTGCGATCATGTATCTTAGATATTATATTACACTCGGCGAACCCGCAAAATGTGCCTTAGACACCAGTGGTCAAAGGCAGATGACTCCTTAATATCCTCCACATTCATTGGCCATGTCTCAAAACCATATAGCAAGATCGAACGAATCATGGCTATATTGATAAGGATTTTTGTTTTAATGGTGATTCCACTACGGCTCCATAAAGATTAGGTCAACCAGAAGAACGCATTTCTAGCTATTATTATCCGTAATTTCGTCTTTTGCCTGGTCATTCGGTATTATAGTAATCCAAGGTGTTTAAAATCTGGCACCTCCTCAACGGGAAGGGGTTTACAAAAAGAGGCATTTTATCAGCTTCTTGTATATATTTGTATTCTGGCATTGCCTCAAGTAATTTCTCTAGCATTTCCCATTTTTTCGATAGTTTATTTATGCGATGCAAATGTATACATCGCAAAGATCTCCAGCTAAGCCATTTGGTTATACTTCTTTTCTAAGACAAAACCTAAGCAATGAATCAAGAAGAAAAGAAAATTTGCTCATCAAATGCGTTTTGAAATAAAATTTTCTGCATGGTTTTGATAATTGTTTTGAGGTGGAAAAATGTTAATGGAGGAAAATTTATTAAATTTTATAGATTATTTTTTGGAATTATTGTATAATAAATTAAATTCACGTTTAATATCAATAAAAGATCGGTTAGATATTTATCTAATTTATCGAAAACTTTGGTTTTCTCCTAGAAACACTATCAGTGATTAGAATGAGTTTCCTTTCCTTCTTCTAGAGGTTGAGTTGAGGAGAGGATAAAGTTTGGGATTTCTAATAACTTCTCATATTTCAAATCTATATATTTCTTCTTTTTAAACGATTGAATTCGATTGAATAAGGTCATTTTAATTTTTTTTCATAGTAATATTCGAAGCTTTTAAATTATCATATACTGTATAATACGGAATGATATCTATCATCAGTAGTTCAAATCAGTAATCGTCATTATCATTATCATTAAACTTAAACAATTCTTTATATTTCAGTGAAATTTCACATAATTTTTTGTCGATTTTGATTGATTTTCATTTGAATTTAATTTTATTTTTTTCACAAATTTCTATTTTATATGTTATTTAATTTCTACATATTTTATTAAAAAAATGAAAAATTTTAAAAATTGTTTAAATTATTTAAAAATTATTTTGAGACATTTGCTTTTCATTGTGCGCAATAATTTTTTATCGTATTGTTTTTTTTTTCTTATGGTTGTCTAAGCATTCAATTCTTTGTATAATTTTTGAATTGTGTACTATTGATTGTTTCAAGTTTATAGAATTTTTAAAGTTATAATAGCTAATTTTCCGTCTTTTAATATTTATTATGATCTATAGTTAATACATTGGTGATAGAATGGCTCGGTGGGTTGTTGTTTAATTGGGAGTGCCGATGCTGAGGTTTGATTCCTCACAGGACTAAACCTATACAAAAATCCGGGTGATATTGGCGACTCACCTATCGCCAAGGGACTCACTGGCATATTGCTCAATGTAACGAGTCAGTGTAGCGAATTTAACCATTAATGGTGAGGACTCTTTGAAAAAAAAAAAAGTTAATACATAGAGTTAATACATAGATAGCTTAATGAGAAGATCACTTCACATAAGTATTGAAGTAAAGTGGCCTAGTGGATTGTTACTCAGTTTGAGATGTTGATACTGACGTTCTGACAGGAGGAAACCTATCGTTCAAAAAACTAAGCGATTCTGGCGACTCATCTATACATCTACAGTCAAATACCTCACGGCAAAATTTGTCAGGTCAATAAGTCAAAGCCCGAAGGTGCTTAACCTCCACTGGTGAACAATATCAGAAAAAATTGGGAAAATAATGAATATGTAATATAAAAGTACGAGTTATATCACCTTATTTTACTTTATTTCAATTACTTAATAACAGTACACGTGATTGTAGATTTCAGCTTAATATAATAAATATTATCGTTCTTTATTTTAAAATAGTTGTTAGAAGAGAACCGGTTTTTATCATTTTATCATTTTCTTTACCTTCCATTGATTTTTTTCAGAAAACTTTAAGTTAGAATGTATAATAAGCAAGGCTAAAGGTAACGACAGAATTACTTGATCTGTGTAAATATTAAACATCTATTAGCTCAAAATATTATTCTATTGCGGTCATCTTTGGCTGGCTTATATAGTTGGTGAATCTCTTAGGTGATTATAACCGCTTCGCGATTCTCGCGCAATTTTATTCATTTTTTTAAAATTTAAAATTTTTAAACTAAGCATTTATATATCTATTTGGAATCATTTCCCTCTTCTATCGTTTTGCTCTACTTACTTCTAGTAAGTCCATTCGCCAAACAAATATTCGAGAATAAATAAAATTTATGTCCACAATTAGGATTTTTAATGATAAAGTAAGCGATGATAACCAAAATCAAGCTGTTTCGCACCATTCACTTAAGTATTTATTATTACTGCAAGTTATAAAAAGTTACAACTTTGCAAAATTATAACTTTATAAAAAAGGTTATAAAAGTGCTAGATTTAAGATGTTGAAAAATTTTGATAAAAATTTTGATAATTTTGATAGATAATAAAATTTTTTGCAAATTCTATTAACTATTTAATTTATAACTATTCTTATCTCTTTATAACTATTCCTGAGATAATTGTTCGTTTACAAAGTTGAAATGCCAGGCTTTGGCTTCTGATAAGAGTAAATCTGCCTTTAACAAATCCAGATGATCTATTTGCATATCTATCGTCAAGTTTTTCCTAGCGAAAATTTCAGATAGCTTAGCTAAAAATAATAATATGCGCTGCTGGCCATATCATTTTTAAAGGAACTAACAGGAAAAGAATTTACAATTTGTAAAAATTTAGTAGTTTTTTAAAATTTTTCAACCAGCAAATTTTTTAATTAGTTATCTATCTTTCGTGCAGTCTGTTCTATCAGTTCTATTTGGGGAAAAAAATTTTTATCAAATTTGCAAAAAAAAAGAAAAAAATTCACAGAGAGCATACGTGCAAGAGCAGTGTAAATTATTATGCCACAATGATCACTGTTTTCTTGTGTTAAGCATATTTATTGCCTATTTTACTTAGTTACTTGGGAACTATCTTGCTTATTTATTTGGGAATTATTCTCTTAATAAATTCATTTATAATATGAATTTTTTTCCATAATTCATTTATTATTGTATCAAAATAATATAATTTCGAAGAAAATATTAAATATTGCAAAAATATTTTGATTAATTAATTGTAGTTTATTCAATGATCATAAATTTTCATAAATAAATCTCTAATAGTTTTTAGTTTCTACTAATGTTTAATTTATAATTATTAATTATTATTATTATAATTTATTAATTTTTATTGACTTTTTCCAAAAAATTTTTAAAATTTTTTAAATTAAGAATCAATAAAATTTAAAAAATTTGAAATTAAAAATTAAATTTTTTCTTGGTTTTTTTTCAAAAATAATTTTATAATTTATTTAATTTTTGGTGATTTAATTTAAATTTGAAAAAAAATTTGTAATTTAATTCTATGAATTTAGAAAGAGAAAGGGCGATAATTACAAAAACTTTCTTTTCATTTCATATATAATTTTATAGTAAAAGAAGGGAAAATAGTCAAATAAAAGAATCGATTTAGTGCTTTGGACGAAACTATCAATCTTATTGATATTGATAGTTTAGCAAAATGAACGTATGAACAGTAGCGATTGAATAGTAACTTTTAAGCCATAAAGGAAATTTTTTTCATATTACTATTAATTTTCCGTGATTTTTTTTAATGAGGAAATTTTTTAAGAAATTATTACTTAACTTTAGCTTTGTTTGACCTCTGAATGGATAGTAGTAAAGGATTGCCAATGAACTGATAAGTTTTTTTTTGGTATTGATAAATAAATTGAGCATCAATTGAACAATTGATGATAATACACATATAAATCGATATAAATCCTGCTATGATAATCTGCCAAATTTAATAAGTAATATTATATTAATATAATGAAATGCCAAATCCTTAAGGAAAATTTGCGATAATTTAACCAATGATAAGGAATCTTATCACTATTATTGTTTACAAACTCAAATATTTTTTTTTTCAAATTATTTTCATATTATATTTGTTGTTTGCATATATTTCACATTATCTATTGAAATAGACGACGTATAAATTTCCATATAATTTTTGTTCTTATATATTTAATTTTCTTCATTTTCTATTTCCATTAAATCAGAAGTAAAAATCAATTTCTAAAACAACTGTTAAAAATTAAAAGGCCTACGTGCCTTACACAAATGTTAAGTCAGTTTTCCTTATCATGTTTAACGGTAATAAATAAATCCGAATTTTTTTCACTAAAAGAAAAAAAATAATTTTTGGAATTTAATGATTATATTATATTATATTTGGCATTGAATATAGAACACAAAAGAATATTCAGAGGAGCCTGCATCCAGTATAAAACAGTCGAAACGAGGTGCAATGTTACGATCATTATCACAGTCGAAGATTGCCAAGGCATTGGCAGGAGTGGAAATGGAGGAAACTGAAGTTATGGAAATGGATGAAGGTCGAACTGCACGAGAAGAGGGGCGAGTGGTGTTCGAATGCTCTTGGGAGGTGGCCAATAAGGTTCATTTTCATTTATTTTACCATATATATTAAAGGAAAATCGCTGAAAATGTCTCGTTTGAAGGTTGGTGGAATCTATACAGTATTACGTAGTAAAGCAGCAATAAGTACAGAGGAACTTGGTGACCAGTATTGTATGTTAGGTCCACTACGAGAAGACCGATGGCGATTGGAGGTCGAACAAATTGCACCGGAAAGCAGAAATATCGCGACAGCAATCCATAAAATGAACGATAGTGGTTTTAGAGTAAGAACTGTCATGTCTCATTAATCAAAATTAGTGCGAAATTATATGATCTTTTGAAGTTGAGGTGTAAGCTTAAAATAATTTGCCGAAAGGGTTGTAGCTCGAAATTTTGATCTTTTAATAGATGTTTGTCTAATTTTCGATTGGAAACTTCAAAATTTCAAAATATAAGGCTTCATCCTCCAATATATTAAGAGAATATTGCGAGTGAAATTTAAAATCACCATTTATTAATTTCTCATTCTTTAAAGGCAATATATGGTAGATGGCTAATTGACGGTTATCCGAAAGTTATACTTTTTGACTTGGGATCAGGTTCGTACAAAATGGACGAATGGAAACAAGAACTTTTCGACAGGCAATTATTCATACTTATTAAATCATTATTAATCTCTTTAAAATGAACATCTTACCGAAATTTTAACTAGAGGACCGAGTTTCTACTCGGTCGAATTCTGAGGATAAGTCTACCTTTTTATCTTTAGCAGATTTTCTGGTGAAAATATTCCATCTTAACACCTGGTGAAGCCAGCCAAATAAAGAAATTCTTGCTCATCTATTCTTATTTTTTTATTTATTGCAAAAATTAATTAATTCTCGAACCCTTTATTTTTATTAGTATCATTTTTATTAGTAATATTAATTTTGATTAAATATTTTACAATGATTAAATATTAAATATGATTAGAAGTTGCCATAAGAAATTTAGGTGTCAAATTGGAATACCTTATGAAGATATTGAATCTAACGACTCAGTAATATTCGGTTTCATGGTAGCAATATTTTTGCAACACTTTGTTCAGTCAGTTAATGGTTATCGCATTCTAGCAGTAGCACATTTTCATGAATGGCAAGCAGGTAAAATATTTTCATATTTTGGCCTGCCAATAAAATGAGTGAAATAAATCTTTCACTTGAATACTGGAACATTTTTTAATATTCAAATATTTATCCTCTATTACCATTAAATTTTATTTGAATGAAATTTACTTACATTGGCTCTTAGGCGTTGGTCTAATCATGTCGCGATTATGGAAGACTGATGTGGCAACGATTTATACTACTCATGCAACCTTACTCGGACGTCATCTATCAGCTGGCGGTTCTGACTTATACAACAATCTTGACAAATTTAATTTGGACGAGGAAGCAGGCAAAAGAAGGGTAAATAAAATAAATAAATGAAAAAAAAAGACTAAATTCACGATCTCTTATAACCCATAGAAAATACCTCTTTTTAAGGTTAAAAGCAGAGATTGAGGTTTGATATTTGCTTATTTTCATAAGTTATCATTTCTTCATGCCAATGTGTCTTTCGAATTTTGAGGCAATTTTTTCAAAGGAATATTTAACCAAATAAAACTTTATTCTTCATTATTGCTTTATTATTTCAGTTATTTTATACATATATATTTTATGTATTATTTTCTACATTTTTCGCGATAGTTGTGAGCTCGAAGAAAAAAAAAATTCGTCAAAAATTTAGCATTTCTAAGTGATAAAATCTAAGCGAGAATATCAGCAAAGATTCATAAGATTTATTATTTTTTATTTATTATTATTATTGTGATTTATTATTTTCAGATTTATCATCAGTACTGCCTCGAGCGGGCTGCATGTCACATGGCTCATGTATTTACAACCGTAAGCGAGATCACCGGAGTGGAAGCAGAAAAGTTAATTAAAAGAAAACCTGATATTTTAACGCCAAATGGGCTAAATGTTGTGAAATTCGCCGCATTGCACGAATTTCAGGTATTATTTCAGATTTTATAGGTGTATTTCAGGTGTTATAGGTATAGGATTTTGAAATGAAATGAACTTTACTAGCACAATAAATTATTTTTTTTTTTTTTAATAGTTGATTTTAAAAACAATTGTAACGTACTCATTATCATCATTAATGCATCTGATAATTTATTATCATTACTATGTTTTCGTAAAAAATACAAAAATACAAAAAATTCGCTAAACGTGCATAAAACAAGGTTCAAACTACCTTAAATTATGACTCAATATGACTCAATTTTTTTTCTAAATAAATAAAGGAGTGAGTAATTAAATAAATTGATGACCAAAAATTCATTTCAAAGAAATTTGAACAATTTGCTCGAAAAAATTTAATATTTTTTATTATTATAAAAACAATAATAATGATAATAATAATAGTGATAATAATATCAATAATAACAATAAATATTTTTTTTTATAGAATTTACATGCACTCGCCAAAGAGAAGATAAATAATTTTATTCGCGGTCATTTTCATGGACATTATGACTTCGATTTAGAAAAAACAATATATGTATTCACCGCAGGACGTTATGAATTCACAAATAAAGGTGGTGATATGTTCATTGAAGCTCTTGCTCGGCTTAATCATTATCTCAAAACTACTCGTGAATTACGGCATAAAGAAGTCACAGTAATTGCTTTTATAATATATCCTGGTAGGTTTTTATAGATTTATAGATTCACTGTTATAAAAATCATTATCAAAATAATTATTGGAATCGTATTTTGACCAATAATTGAGGCTTATATATATATATATATTGTTTTCTAAGAGTTTGACTTGCTCGGCCGATTTTTAACAGAGAATCACTTAGTGTTAAAAATACAGATATAAGTCGCCAACTTCACCCAGATTTTTGAAAGACTGGTCTGTATTCGTTTGTATTCGTCGGAAATAGGACTCTTAATATCGTTGCTACGAAATGGTAGCAATAACCTATTAAGCAAATTTAGTCCCTGAAAATTTAAAAAAATTTAAAAAATTACTTTAAGCTGATGAATCCTCGATAATACGTTAGTATATTTGTTTATTTCACTGCAAATATTTTAAATGAAATTTTTTTAAGAAGAATTTTGGTAGTGAAATTTTGATGCAAATATTACTAAAAAATTTGATGAAATAGACATGTATAATGTACTGCTTCGATAATTTAGTGGCACGATGATTACTGATAACCGAGAAGCTCGAGTATGCATACGACCGAATATGCACCACGCTTTATCGGACATTGCCGCTGAACTGCGAAAGCAAAGGAAATAGAATAGCTCAATATGGAGCAATAATAGCTCAATACGATGCTGGTTCCACAACCGGCAGGAATACCCTGTGTTTCAAAAATCTAGATGGTGGCGGCTTACCTAAATTAATTCATATCGTGAAGTTACTCCCAGATAAAATTTATCTAATACAACAAGCTAGCGGAGGAAAGCTCTCTTAGAAGAAAATATAATAAGGACTTCTTACGTTATTTAGCTCAAAACTCGTCCGAAATTTGATTTTTTTAAGCCCGTGCGAATTCATTTAACGTTGAATCGCTAAAGGGTCAGGCTGTTACAAAACAGTTAAAGGAGACGGTCGACAAGATTAAAGAAAATATTGGTCAACGGATGTTTGAATCTTGCATACGAGGGCGATTGCCGGACATGAGCGAAGTTATGGATGCAACCGAAAAAATCCAGGTTTTTGCACATTTCTAAACGATCTTGCATTTTTTGGGCGTTTGAATTCGAAAAAAAAAGATTACGATTATAAAAGATCGCAAAAGATTGAGAATTTGAATCGAGGCTCAAATCGCGATAAATATTTGCAACATCTTTCTTGTTGATGATTGATCTATTAAAGCTTAAACGTTGTATGATGGCGACAGGAAAACAAGAGCTACCTCCAGTTTGTACCCACAATATGATAGACCCTAATGATCCTGTATTATGCAATCTACGTCGAACTCAACTGATAAACAATCGTGCTGATCGAGTTAAAGTTATTTTTCATCCGGGTAATTGTAAAAATGGTTATGTCCTATGCCTAATTGTGAAATTTAATAAGTGCATGACCCAATTTGAAAATCACCCAATTTCTATTGCTTATTATTATTTACACATTTTCTATTAATTTTTCATGATATTTTACAGAATTTTTATCCTCAGTTTCGCCACTGATTGGCTTAGACTATGAAGAATTTGTACGAGGATGTCATATCGGTGTATTTCCAAGTTATTATGAGCCATGGGGATATACGCCGGCAGAGTGTACATTAATGGGGATTCCATCTGTAACCACAAATCTTTCAGGATTCGGCTGTTTCATTCAGGTACAATACTTTTAAAAAAACTAAATTCTAATTCAGCGGATTGTTGAAACTTAAATTTCTGAAATATTCAATATTTTTACATATATAAATTGCATATATAAGAACAAACATAAGAATTCGAATAAATTTGCCACCGAATCGAACTTTAGGAACATGTAATCGATCCAGCATCATATGGTATATATGTGCTGGATAGACGATTCAAGGATGCTGAAGGATCAATTTGGGATTTAGCGCAAATATTATATGACTTCTGTGGACTTTCTCGTCGTCAACGAATCATTATGCGCAATCGAACAGAACGCTTAAGCGAGTTACTTGACTGGAAAAGTCTTGGAATATTTTACAGGCAAATATTTTATTTCTATTGTATTTTCTTGAAGATATTCTTACGTTATAAATGAAGTGCTCTATTAATGCTCTATTAATAATTCAGAAATGCTCGTCGCCTCGCGCTTGAGAGACTTTTTCCGAATCTCGATGAAATTATTAAAGACAATGAAGGTAAAGTTCCACCAGCTGCAGTAAGTCGTCGTGGCAGTCATCAAGAATGAAAAAATATAAGATAATATTATATTTTTTGTGGAATTATCTTATTATAATGCGCAAATAATTATTAAAAAGATTTGTTTATATAGGACGACTTCTTCATAAGGCAAAGGCAACTTAAATACTGGCAACTTAAGCAGCTTAAATACTGTAACTGCCATATTATTTTCCCCTATTATTATACTTATCAGCCAGTATTAAATAAAACGTTGATCCGGTTTTCTCAGATCATTTCAATTTCTATTGCCTTCAGAATTATAGTTTCTAATTTAAAGTCTTCGCATATTTCATGTGGTGTAAAATTTGTTCTTCTATAACGCCAGTGATACGTAATTGTGCCTCATTTTTTTGCACATTGAAATTTGCTTGAATTCGTTGAATTTTTAAAAATATGTGAAGAAATGGAAATGATTCAGTTTAATGATTCATTAAATTTTATACCTGTCGTTATGCAATTATTTGTATGCAAATTGCAAATTTTTCTTTGTAAATGGCAGAAAGATTTTTGTTATTTTATCAAAGGAAATGATATGTTATTTGATGTGCAAAAGAGACTGAACTCTACGACGATTGAATTACAAAGAATTCATCAAAAATTCAAAGAGATTTTATATTTAATTTTATATTTAATTTTTTTATTTCATTTTAAACATAAACTTATTTTAAATATAAATTTTTAGCGTAGTCTTACGTGAAATAATAGTCATCTTACGTGAAATGACTATGACCATGACAGATCTTTGTGTCACCTTTTTATAACTTTTTTTTTGTCATCTAAAACAAGACCAGAAAATTAATGAAAATTAATGACTAATGAAAAACCAGAAAATTATTGAGGAATTTATATTTTATCCAATGATCGCTTCATATGGCTTAGTATTATCACATATTAACATAACACTACAAGTTTTTAGACATAGAATTTTTATTTTAATAATTTTAACTTTATTTTTATTTTATTAAAATACGTATGAATTCTAGAAGTACGAATTCTAAGATCACTAAGAAAACTTTCGAAAGAGGTTTAAAAATCGGAAAAATTCAAAAACTGATATTTTGGCATTTGCTAAAAAATTGATAGTTTTCGCTAAAAGAAAATACTAACTTTGCTGATAATTTTCGAAATTTCTTTCATATTAATTTCTTTTATCAGTTTGTGGCAAACAAATGTAATAATTTTAGATCATTTTAATGCACAAGTTTCCTTATATGTTATAAATAGCACTTTTTATGTTTACAACACAAATTTTGGTATGTTCAGTGCACTTATCACAGCTCATATCATCATTAAATATAAATCATAAATCACCTGACAAACAAATGATAAATAATGAATAAATGTCGTCCCAAATTTCATTTACGAACAGATTTTTAATTATACCAAATGTTGAAACTATTGGAACTTAAAATCAGCATAAATTCGATAATGAATGAAGAAAGACGAGAAGAAAGTATAAACTATTACCATGGAACTATTGTAGCATATTAAGGATGAAACTAAAAAGCTACAAAACTGAGTTACATATATGAGAGAAACGATGGCCGAGTGGTATGTGGCATCAGCAATAAATTTAAGCGTCATGAATTTGATCCATGCCGCTTGACCGAGATATGTATCGATTGTCTGCTAGCAACATGAGCGATAATCTGGTGTTAAGATTTAACTGCAAACCACGAATAATTCACGCTATAAGAGACTGATAAGACTGATTCTTATTTGAAGATGTTGGCTAAATTTTGGGTCCAAGCAAAGAACTCATTTTTTTATTTTAATATCTTAAAAATTCAAACCAACCATCATAGTGAATTGGGTCATGAAATCAGTCATGAAAATATGAGATGAAAAAAAAATCACAAAAATACAAAAAGAAAAAATCAAGATATGTATCTGAGCCTTCTAAAAAGAAGGTCATGATATGTCGATTCTTGGATTTGCACAAGTCTGAAGAAAGGAATCACGAATAGAATAATTTTGAAAGTTGTAAAATGTTTTTTTTTGTTTTGTCTAAAATTATTCGATTCTTTTGTTGATGCGGAAAAGCTCCGTACAATTCATTCTACATTTTGTTAATCAATTGCACGAATACGAAGAATATGATTTTTGGAACGACCAAATAACATATTGAAAAAAAATTTACACAATCTTAAATTCACAATATTTAATACGTACGCTTAATAAAATAAAACGATATGAAGGGACGAGGAAAGATATTAACAAAATTTTAATTAAATCTAAACCTAATATATCACCAGATTATCACCAATTATCACTATACAATCTCATTCTCATTTTTATTGCAATTGCAATAGTGCAGGAAAAAAAAAATTAGTGCTGAAATACAACAAAAAATTAAGGAAACAATATATGATTGATTAAAACGTGCTACGTTTACAAATAATTTGACCACGAAATTGGCCAATCGTTTTTTTAATGCAACTGCTGATGAATAGAGTTTCAAAATTAAAGCAGATTATAAGTAATTCTCATTTGAATTCCGCCTAAATATTCTGTTGCAATTTCAAATGAGAATGTAATTTTTAGCTCTAAAATTAAAACAAAAAACAATATTGTATCAAATAAATAATGATTGAAATTTTAAGAAACATTATAAAACAAATTTCATAATGAAAGATAATAAATTAATGAATTTTGCTTGAAACCAGTTTCCAAATCTTATATCGGCACATGGTTTTAAATCAAAGCGTATACTTTTAGATAATCGAAAATTGAAAAATAATTTTACACAAAGATTCGTGAAACCTTGAAAATTTATCGGACTGAAAGTGAACATAGCAAAATTAAAATCCAACTAATTGATAATTGATTGAGATCACACATTATCACATTAGATAAAGTGCCAAAATTTTTTAATGCTTTTAAGACAAATTTAACGCCATCGATGAAGAATTATGCAAAACGATTGGATAATTATCAAATAATTCCATGATTAAATCATGAATACAAGCAAACGACTACAGAATACATAGGAAAAGCCAACGTGCAAAACGACATATCATGATGTGATGTGATAAGATGTTCATAATTTAACGTGCTAATTTAAATAATATATCTTATAAATAGCAAAATTCTTCATATACACCTGAATTTCCTTTTTTGAAAATTGTGCAAAAATTTTCCCATATACAAAGAGAAAAACTACAGATGTTTATTAATGAATGTTTCTGTAAGGAGGTTGAGTGACAAAAGAAAGAAAGCTCTTAATATTGATAATCAAACTGATTTACTAATAGTGCCACTGAAACCAACTAAATTTATGAGTTTTGTTTGCAAAAAATTTCAATTTAATAGTAACCATAATTCATGCAAAGCTGTTTTACTATACAAATAATAAAAATTTTGTGATAAGGATTGGATTAGTGATAACTAAAGATTCATAATCATTTGAGTTAATCATTTGAAACAACTAATTATCATTAAAATGAAAATTTATTAAAAATTTCTATATGTTTTAATTAATTTTGTTTTATATACGGCTTGGTCAAAAATAAATTATTATTATTATTAATACTAATATTATTATTTTTACAAAACAATTTTTTTGATAAGTGCTATGAATAGTTTTCTATTAAATTGATAAAATGCAAATTCATGCGAAGAATTTTGCGAAAGCCAAAGTTTTCTCATAAATTTTCTCATTATCTAAGAAAATATCAATAAATTAAATGAAATAGAAAATTAGAATATCTCAAAAAATCACCATTTCAGTAGGTTTTTTAAGCTTTTTTTAAATTAACGCGCATTGAACGCACTTTAAACATGCAACGTGAATCTCAATCAATACAATAAAAATTGCTCCATTAAGTCTTTGAAATTTTTAACGAAACTATTTTTTTAGAAATATCACAAAAATTTATGAATGGCAAAATATTTGAAATAAATAAATATATGCATTTAACATGAATAAAATTATAAATGAATGGTTCCACAATCTTTTAAAATGCCATAAAACCTGGTAAATTCTAAATTTTTATATTCCGTTCGAAAACGTAGAAAGTTTTAATAATTTAAATTTTTGTTGCTGAATGATTAAAGGAATAAAAATGATGCCAAAAAGAATAATGAATCGATAATGTATAATTTATATAGTGAAAAAAACGCAAATGAAAAAATGGATTATTAAAGATAATTTTTTAAACCCGCTATACCTTTTAAATTAAATTTATTCGGTGAATAACCGAAAATTAAAAACCAAAAATATTAATAAAATTACAAAAAATAAAAAAAAAGGATAAGAAAAAAATGCTTTAAATTCCACTCTTGGAAAATGAAACTCTCAAATGTGCATTATCGGCTAATTTGAAATTATGCATTTCAATAAGAGCATTTATGGCTGCTTCAGTATCGCTAAGTTGTAACAAAGCCATTTTATGGTCCTTCCTGAAATTATTTGCCTCGTTAGCATTAAAAAAAAAAATCTGCTACAACTATTTATTTATTAACGAAGAAAAATCGCATAAAATCACATATTTTAAGTTTTGAAAATTTCGATTTAAAAACTCCCAAAATGAATTAATAAAAAACTTACGGAAAGAACTTGAAACCTTTCGGCACAAAGCCACGTTGTTCAAAAGCGGAGATTAGGAACTCATCTGTAATATTTGGTGGAATATTTGATAAGTGAAGTGTAGCGCTAGGTGGATAAATATTCAAATAATTTTTACTTCCCGGTTTTTTGAAACGATGTAGTGGTGATTGCGAATAATCTCTAGTAAGACCGGCATCAGGTTGACCTAAATACTTTTCGTATTCAATATTTTTGTAACAAAAAAACAACTTTGGATCCATTAAAAAAAAAAAAATTCAACTCAAAAACAGAATTTAAGGGGAAAAATTTACCTTCTTTAGGCATTTGTACATTATTATGTTTTGATGTGGCCACACGAATTTGCCTATCGTGCCATTGAATTTTATCCAAATGTTGTATAGCTGAAAATGAGGTTATCCCTATAATTCTGCAATGCGCCATTTTCAATTATTAAAAATACTATTTATTATCAATCCAATTTCTAAAATTTTTATTAAAATTTAGGTAAATATAGATTAATTACTAACATTTTAATTTTTTTTTAGCCATTTAATGGAAAATATTACTTTTCTCTATTGACATTTATATAAAGAAATTTACTCAAGACAATTTTTGTTTGCTTAAGGAAATTTTATCTTCGTTAATCGTTTCTTATCTTCGAAAAACTTTAGCGTACCAAGATGTGCTTGTTGAGCTTCAGCGTACTGAATTAATGCATTATCCTTTTTATTGAAAAGAATTTTTACGCGTTGAACATCGCCATAAACTCCTAAAATATTTATTCTTCATTTTAATTGTAATACATCTGATTCAATTTTATAACATCGGTTATTTGAATTTTTATTTTGATTATGAATAAATCAACGAGCGAAATCATGGTGGAATAACTAAAAAACATGAAAGGAAGAAAATTTCGCGCAGATAGGGATGCAGAAAATCGTCGAAAGAATTTGCAAAATTTTGCAAAAAAAAAAAAATTCCTAGAATAATTGAGAAATTATAATAGTCGAACAACGATTGTAAATCATAGATTTGCGCTTGAGAAGTACGAGTAGCTTTTTTTTTCAAATGCTGAAGGCAAAAGAAGTACTCCAGAAAATTTGATAATAAGCACTAAAATAACAATCGAAAATGAAAAAAGGACCATACTTACCAAAAAGGATGAAAAGGGCATCCGGGGTGATTTTCTGAAAAATATGAAAGTGAATATTCAGGTTTTTAAAAAAAATTTGCAATTTTTTTAATAAAAAGTATATAAGTTATGATTATATGATTAAATGGAATTTTCTACTTTCATTTTTTTCCAATAATTATAGGAATATTGAACTTTTAAAGATCTTTTTGAGAATTAAAAAGTACCTTTTCTTAAAAAAAAGTTATAATCTCAATTAATTAAATTTTCTATAATTTCTATAAAATATTATTATATTTAATTTCTATAAAATATTATTATTATATTATTATATTTAAAAATATCTTTCAAGGATGAAAAAAAAGGAAAAATGAAAATTGATCCATTTTAGATTTTTTCGGGAAATTTTTAAATTTTTTTTTATTTTATCTAAATTGCTCTTTATTCATTTAGCCTTATTTTTTCAATAAATTTTGTTTTAATTTCGTATTGGAACCGAATAGGGGATTAATTAATCGTCGTCGACAGGGATAAAATCCAGGTTCTGCTAACAATCCAATCCACGTGTCGCTTCTATCGCTAAAATAATTCCCTGGTATAATTTTCTACCGTATTAACAGTTATCGAAACTAGCCTAATCTAGCGGAAGCTAACGGAAATAACTATTTTTCTTTCTTTCTTTACTAATTCTATCATTATTTGTTTACTAATATTTTATTCCTTGGTATAAAATTGAGATTTTTTAGGAAAAAATTAAAAAACGATCTCTTCTTCTTCTAACAATTCTCACCATTACTGGTAAGGAGGACTCCAATGGTTACAAGGGTTAAGACGTTTCCAAGTGGCGCTGTCTGATGCCATCGTCGACAATTCCTTTTTCCATTCCTTTTTCCATCGTCTAAGTCCATCTATTGCTGGTCCACCTATACGTTCAAAATCTTTTCTGACCAATCCAGGTCTTGATTGGCCCACCTCGATTTTGGCGCCATCCAGCACACGGTTTAGAAAGTAACGAAATATGCGTCAATTCCTGTGGTGAACAACGGAGAACGTACCCTAACCAGCGAAAGCGATGCTCTATGATGGTACTAATAATGCAAGTGGTGTTTGAAAGAAGTTATGGTCGTGTGAGATTTTATCCACTCAGCAAATCCATTTTTTTAAATAAAAAGCAACTTAAAAAAATATCGAAATGATGTGTAACTAGGAATTAATATACATTAAGGCTAATTTTGTTTTTCTTAATTCTCAACCCTAAACTTATGAGTTTTTTATCCATGAAAAATTACTAAGGATTAAATCTTGGAAATGATTCAAGCTTTAAAAATTAATCTGAACCAATCCACTCGGCTATCTTCCTCTTAGTATTTTATCTACCTTTCAAAAAAAAAAAAAAATAAAAGAGACTACTCAACTTTTTTATAAATTATAAAATGACTTAGATTTTTAATAAAAATTCATTTTTTCTAATAATAAATAATAAAATCTTTTTTCGAAAGCTAAAAAGGCTTTATCAACGATAAACTTTATCAGAAAATAAACTTTTTAAAAATGATGAGCCTATTCAATATCTAGACAGTTAAAAAGATATCAGCGAAATGGAAGTATATTTTAATCATTTTTTTGATAACGTTATCAATTACTAACATTCTCATCGAGATTTGAAACTAGAACGACAGGCGACATATTTAAAACACCAACATGCGGCAAACGTAATGCGGCTGCTGTTGAATTTAACAGAGCATTTGCAGTAACAGGACTTGCCGCATTTGATGCTAACGTTGTTGTCAGTCCAGTTAAAAATGGCGATATTCCTGATGGCGCGCCAAGAGCATCAGCAAAACCTGAAAATTTACACAAAGGATCCAAAAAAAAATTGAAATTTTCAAACAGCTCCAATTTATTTATAAATTCTAACAAATTAAATAAAAAATAAACTGATTTTAAGCAATTTTTATCAAATTATTCTAATGAAATAAAATAATAAAATAAAATAAAATAAAATAATTTATCAAAAATGTATACTTTCCACCAAAAGAAAAGATTAAATTTGATATGAAAAATTCAAAGATTTAATACATATCGGTTTATGTTTAAACATTACTATTATATCGTTTGTTTATGTATATACAATGCGAAGAACAAAATCCATACTATAAACATATACGCTGTGCCATTCATCAGTAATTGGTACAGCTAGCGTGTTAAGATGAACAAAGGAAGATTTGGACAAAGACTACTGATATGAAGACCAGGACACTTCATGTCCAAAACTCGAAGACTTTATACCAACTGGAATGAAGATGAGGTAGAGTTTGGTAAGTGAGAAAGTCATTGTCTCGAAAAAAACTCCCCAGAAATAGTCAAACACATAGTGGTAGTGGCAGAATGTAAAATGCACAAACATTCACTGAAAGGCATAGCCAAATAGCTGGCATCATCTACAGGAATATCTGCTCCTCATATGGCTTGGACCTCCTAAGACTAAATAAGAAATTGCTCCGAAAATTATGCAGAAAAATGAGAAAAAAATGGCGAAGATCCTATGGGGCGTCTTCTCTTCAAATTCACAAATAAGTAGTGATCAGATATCGTGGTATTAGATAAAAATCAGAAATCAACAATGGTAACTGATATGGCGATACCAAGCGACATGAATGGAGGAATATGAGAGAAATACCAAAGGCTGCAAGAGAAACCAGAGAAGATATGGCAAATAAAGATCAAAGTAATTCCATTGATAAATAGAGCACTTGGAACTGGACCCCTGAACTAGAAAAGTCGCTTCAGCAGATTCTAGGAACAATATCAAAGATCTCTATCGAGAAAAGCGCACTAAAATACTGCGCTTAATCTCTCTTAATCTCCTTAGCCCACGGTAGATGACACGAAGTTGAGGATTATAACCACCCAGAGGAGAGTGAGAAAAAGATTTTTTTTTACAATAGTAAGTGGTGTATTGATAGGTAATAGATTTATATTTATCAGCATAGCTAATATGCAAAATTTGCAAAATAACCACAATATGACCCGAAAATTTGAGAGGCCTCGTGCAAGGCAATATTTTTTACACTAAGAAGTGCCACGTTGCAAAAAAACCCCTAAAATTGGAAAATTTACAGCATTTTAACTACACTTAAAATATAAAAAAGCGATAAATTGAAACGAATATAAAAAACACCTAAAATTATGCGTAAAAATTATTTACTTTCCCTATTACTAATAGAAAAAACTACTAGAATTCTCAGATTCCTACAAAATTTTATAAATATTAAACCTTATAACTAAGTAGATATTCTAAAGAAGTGAAATAGTTCAGTGGATTGTTGTTCTCATTTCGAAGCGTTAATGTTCTCGATAGAAGAAAAAATCCAATCTTTCAAAAGTAGGCTGGTTCCAACGGCTACAAGGGTAATACGTTTCCAAGCGGCGCGGTCTGATGCCATTGTCAACAGTAATAGAAGCCATTCCTTTTTCCATCGTCTAAGTCCATATATTGCTGGTCCACCTCTACATTCAAAATCTTTTTTCACCGTATCAGTCCAGGTCTTGATTAGCCCACCTCGTTTTTGATGCCATCCATCACACGGCTTAGCAAATAACGAAATATGTGACAACTTTTGAAACGACGGAAAACGTGACCATTGAAGGCGACACTTTGTAATGGTACTATTAATGCAATTGGTATTTGAACGAAAATGGATGCGATCATGTAATATTTCGTCCGCTCAACAGATCCGTAAAATGTACCTTAGACAAGAGTGGTCAAAGGTAGATAGTTTCTTAATATCTTCCACTCTCATTGGACATGTCTCAGAGCCATAGAGCAAGATCGAACGAATCACGGCTATATAGATGCGGACTTTCGTTTTATTGGTAATTTCACGACGGCTCCATAAAGCTTTCATCAATCGGAAGAACGCATTTCTAGCTGTCTTGATCCGATTTCTAATATCGTCGTGTTTTGCTTGGCCATTTGGTTTTAGAGTGGACCCGTATTTAAAATTTGGCTTCCTTGACCCGCAATGAATTTACAAAAAGAGGCATTTTACCAGCTTCTTGCATATAAGACGAAAAGACTTTCGTATTGTGCATATTGACCCTGAATCCGATTGTTACTGCAGTTTCTGACATGTTATTTAGCATTACTTGCATTTCGTCATAACTATCAGCAAAAAGGACTACATCATCAGCGTATTCAAGATCTATGATACGATGCCCTGAATTCGGACACCTCTTGAGTGCCAACAAGCAGTGTCCATTATCCAGTCTATCGCATAGTTGAATATTGTAGGACATATTGTAGGCAACCTTGACGGACACCAGTTCTTATTTCGGAGAAGTTTGTTAATTCCCCATATAAACAGACCTGTGCCGACGTGCATAAAAAGTATCTATGAGTCTAATGATTTTCTCTGGAACACCGACACGCTCACCCTCCAAAGTGCTGCTCTATCAATTGAATCAAAGGCAGCCGCAAAGTCGATGAAACACGTGACAATGAGTTGCAAATATTTGAAGCAATGTTCCAATATCCTTTTTAACGTGAACATCTGGTCAGCAAAACCGCGTCCAGGTCTGAAACCAGCTTATTAGGGCGCATCCTGCTATCTCGTACTTCTATAAGTTGAGTAGCAAGGAAGCAAAAATTTTTGCTGAGACGTCTAATAGGCTGATTTCTCGATAATTGTGGCAATATGTTCTATCACCTTTCTTGAGAATTGGGAGCAGAATTTCTTTGTTCCAATCATCTGGTAATATTTCTTTTTCCCACCAGAAAGTACATTTGTTGAAGGTGTGTTATGAAGTGTTTTCATTTTTTAAATCATTAATTATTATTTGTTATTTCAACTGTTGCTATTAATACAAGCACATGGCGTTAGTCGTCCTGCTTGGCTAGTTTTCAATAAATGATTATAAATTCTTAAGAAAACTTGTCTGATTCGACAAGGCGGCAGAGCGAGTCTAATCAGAAATGCTTACCTCTTTTAGGGAAAGAATTAAACGTATTTTTGAAACAAATAAATCCTTAAATGATTTCAATGATTTCGATAAAAATAATTTTCATGACATTGAAGTTTTCGATAATAAAATAAATTCGAAACTAAGAAAGAGATTAAAGAATTTAAAGATAAAATATTAATGAATTTTCCATTAAAAAAATCAGCTAATCTGAATGACATTTATTTTCAAAAGAAACAAAGATAAATGATGAAAAAACTATAAATAGCAATCAATTAGATAGATTCTTCATCAAACGTATTTCTCGAAAAATAAGCGCAAATTTTAATTCGATGAATAAGCGTAATGGCCCAGTAGTTTGTTTTTATGATGAGCCTAAACTGGAATCCTACAACACCCCGGCAGGAATAAATCACTCTTTTAGAAAATCCGATTAGCATTCTTTACCTACTTCGATCAAAAAGCTGCCTGGCTCGACAAATCAGCACCCAATCAGAAGAATTTGAAAAAAATATCTCTAAATGGACTCTTATCAAACTGACAATTTAAGATAATATTACAAAATCATTTATCCATTCTTTCGAAATGCTCTTTTCTTGATTCAATGGATTCTTACCAATTTGACAATTTAATATTACAAAATTATTTATCCATTCCTTCCAAACATTCTTTTCCTGATCCCTTATTCAAGAAATAAATTGTGAAAAATGACCTGAGAAATTTCTTTTTCAATTATCTTTTGTAGTTAGATATTCAAATCTTAAAAAATCTCTACCATTATAAAGAATACTCTTCACTCGCCAAAATTAAATTATTACTGTTTTGCAGATCTCGAGAAAAATACACTTACTGGCTGGTGGAAAAGGAGCTGTTTGGTGCTGAATGGTGTACTGAGGTGTAGCAGCACCAAAAGGAAAAGCGAATGGCGTCTGGACTAGTGAAGCAATTGTTGGTGCAATTTGACTACTTGCTGCCGACACTAAAATATTGAAAAAATGTAAAATTTAATTAAAATGCATTAAATTCGAATATTAAGCCATAAATGAGGAAAAGAGGAAAAATAAATATTTGCCGAAAAGTTTAAATAAATTTTATCGTGTAATGAAATTAAAATATGTGATATTTATAGATAATCAACTGAAGCTTCATAAGAGAGAAGGAAGTGGACTTTGGCATTAAATTTCAATTTTTTGGTCCTTAAAGCTATAACCTATGAAAATTTGTAGTCCATGAGAACGAATCGAATAAATACCGAGACTTAATTGTTGTTCAAGAGTTAGTTCGCCTGAAGGTAGTGTTGGATTCGTATAATCACGACTCTTATCATTGTTATATTTGACATTTAGTGTGGCAAGTTTGCTATAATCAATACGAAGGCAACAACATCCATTGAATACATTTTGACCATCAAGCGATTGTCGTGCCATTTGAGCGCTATTCGCTTCACTAAGTTGTATTAAAGCTTGAAAAGTATCTGAAATTTTATAAATGTAAATTTTTTGAAATGCTGTGAAATTTTATTTAAACCTATAAAAAATAAACTTTAGAATAGTAAAAATAAAAAATAAAAACTCTTCGCTAAAAAATTTAAAAAACTGTTCAAAATAAATTACTATTTTTATGGAAAGTAATAATCCGTAACACTTTGCCATAACGTGAAAAAATTTGATAAAGAACATCAAGCGTGACAGGATAAAGCATATTTTCAATGATAACACGAAGTACGGAATTTGGTTGCTGTTGTGTACAAGCAGATATATCAAGCGCTGAAGAACTAATAGTAGCAGATCCACTATTTGACGCTCCATTGCTAAGTACGAGTAAATTTGAAGGCTGAAAATAAAACGTTCTTAAAATACATTTAAAAATGCCAAAAAAAGAGGTTATAATTATTATAATTATTATGATATAATTTTTCATTTTTTTTTATAATCTGACTGATAAAGACTAATGGAAAAAAAAAGCATAGAAGCAATAGTAAATTAGGATCACTTAAGTGATATGAAAATAAATGATAAGAAAACTTCTTTATATCTTTATTACAATTTATCCATGACAGAAATTCTACTTAATAATAAGTGATGAAGAAAAATTTAGCTATATATTTTAATAAAAAATATCAAAGTTTGGTAAAATTGATCAACTTACTTTAAATTAACTCAATTTATTAAAAAAGGTGATATCATTTCACATAGTTGCTCAATGAAAATTTCAAAACTTTTATGAAAGTAGTCATAAGAAGGAGTGGTAAAAATGAAAATATATTACAAATATGAATAAATATTTTATAATATTATATTTATAATATTTATTATAAATATTTATAATATTTTATTTACGAATCGAAATCATATTTTCATTAAATAATAATATATTTAAGTTTCATTCTTATTTTGATTTTTTTTGTCGATTTTTTTTGATTGAAATGTTTCATTGCTTATAAATATATAAAAATAAAAATTTAAATTCATCGCGAAAATTTTATTTTATTGTTCATAAATCGAAATTATAATTTTAATAAATATTTGTCGATAAGTGTTAATAATTACTAACTATATTTTATAATTTATTTCAAGCAATAAAAAATATTTGTCAATCAAATTATTAAAAAAAAAATTATTGAAAATGAAATATTATTTTAAAAAATTGAATAAAATAACTCTTAATAAAATTTCAAAATTTCAAATTTCACATATTTGAAAAGCATTGTTTTTCAATCATTAAACCATGTTTATCTCAAATATTCTGAGGATCACTCGAATTTGACCGGCAGCACATCATGCTTCATCGATAATATCGTCGAAAGTACAACGAGGTAGAATTCTATGAACATAGTTCTCATCCTGAGGTTCTACGCCAAGCGGAAGTGAAAATCTGGATGATGCTGACGGCTCACCTACACGTAGTGACTCCCTGACGAAATCTGTCTGAAGAAGCCAGCGTTGCAAACCTAATTAGCAATGGTAAGAATTCTCAACAAGAAAAATCTTAAATATTAAGAATGAAGAACTTCAATGGTAGCAATAACTTTAAATTTTTTTGTTCAGTTCTAATCAGATTACTGACGAGAAATGAAAATAAATTATGAAGTTAAGAAAGAGATGAAAATGGAAGAGATTCAGGTGAACTAATTAAATCTAAGAAGAATCCCGAATTCGACATTTAAAATTCTTACAAAATTTTAAAACTTTATGCATCTTGAATTGTATAAATTTCAGTGGATATTAAAATTAATTAATTAATAAAATATTAAATATCGCTAAAAAAAACTATAAAATGAAAGAAAAAAAAGGATCAGGAGTTTTGCATATTTCATTAGTAATATATTTTACCCATATTATTACCTATACTTATAAGTAATAATATTATAATTTCCACTGGATTTAAACTCATGCATAATTTCTTAGATGCCATAATATATCAAATATCTCATTTACGACTAGTTTTACCTTAATTTTAGAAATTTTCAGAAATTTTGGAGATTATAACCAGAAAAAAAATTTTTTCTTTTTTTGAATACAAACCATTTTTTGTTGATCCTGTGTTAAAACTTGATTTTGTTGGCTATGGCTCGTTTGTAACGGACTTTGTTGTTGTTGGCTAACAATAGTGCGTGTATGCTCCATATTTTCTGTAGGTAGCTGATTTCGTTTAATCTGACTTTTCTTATAAGCAGAATATTGCAATGGATCAGTTTTAGTTGAACTATCTTCTGTTACAGCGATTCGCTGAATTTGCTGAATTCCTTTTACGGTCGTCTGATTAGCAGAAATGCTTGGCTGGTAAGACTTAATATCTTGTCCGATAATTGCACGGATTGATGATGCGGCCATACAGATAAATTTGGCCTTAAAAAAAAATTTTTTTTTATGCAGATGATGCAAGCGAAGAATCTACTTCTTTGAACTTCTTTGCTCAAAAAAATTATGATAAAAATTTTTGCTTTCAAACTGCGATAGACGATTGTCGTATGAATAGATAGATGAATTGAAGGACTTTGGTGTACTTGGTGATATTTGTGGTTTTATTTTGATTTTACTTTTTACTAGGGCGTGGTTCGGCAATTCCGTGAACTGCTGACGTGCCAAAATTTATGAAGTCCTTTCGAGGATTTTTGGTTTTAAGTAAAAATAATTAACAAAGCGACGTATCTTGTCAAGTGGAAATCGAATAAGTCTTTTTTTTTTTTCTTATTTAGAAAATAGAAGTTTGTATGATAGATGTTGCGATAGAAAATAAGAAATTTTTTAGTCGTTTCTGGTGAAGAATTCTGGAATGATGTAAGGCAAATGTACAAATAATGATTCTAGTAATACCACAAGTGATAACAACTAGTTGAAGATTATTATCGCAGAAAATAAGTTCTTTTTTGCTCCTCTTCCTTTCCGCATATAAATGAATAAAATGAAAGATTTTGACTTCTTTTCTTCTTCTTCTTTTTCTTCTTCGATTTCGTGAAGATCTGTTTCACTACACACAAATTTTGCCGGTATTATTATGTTTTTTTATATTTACAATATGTTGTTGTTCGATATAGAATAAAACAACGACGACAATTTCTAACACTGGTACGAAATATAAAATCAGACCAGGAAAAAAAAGTAGATGATTGGGGCGAAAGTAAGAAAAAAGGCAAAGGAGGAAAAAGAATAACCGTCGTTGTAAAGAAACGACGGCGTTCGGCCCGGCGGCGTATCTGTTAAAATAAATATTTTTAGATTGATAATTTTAATAAAAATAAAGTACAAATCTAAAAATGTTATTTTATTTCGAGTCGATTCGAAGTTCGCTGAATAAAAATTTTAAGAAAATATTCGCGATCAAGGAGCTTATTTTCATTTTTCACAAAAAAAAAACATTTTTCGTGAAAAGCACCATTGAATATCAAACAAAAACTCGATTGTTTTTCATAGAAAAAACCATTCCCCTCCAGCCACCTTCCTTCCTTCTTGATGCCACAATTTCATAAATTTTATTTTATAGAAAAAGAAATATTCGCAAACAAGAAGAAATTTATGAAAGAAAAAGGAAAATTATTTTGAAAAGTCAATTTAAAATATTATAAAAACATTAAACGATAATAGTACTTAGAAATAGTACTTTCAATGCATATTTAATTAAAAAATTTCTTCCAGAAAGTTTTTTTATTAAATATTTATTCATTCTGATCATTTTTTTTTATGAAAAATTTTTACAAGAACAGTCCACTTTTTCAAAGTACTCTTCTATTTTTATCAGTAAACGATATCAATTTAGGCTTCTTGATGATAATAAACAAATTTACCACTAAAATATGAAATATAAGATGATTATTCGAACTTTCTTTAATAAATAATAAAGAAAAAATCGAGAGAAAAATTCGAAATAAATAAACATTTCCTGATGGGAGTAAATCTACCATTAATAAAATTTAGGTTGTGCTGGAAATTCACCGATATTTCAATGATTTTCGAAATGATTTTCTACCAAAGAGACATCATTACTGTAACCGACGGAGTTAAACGAGAAATGGTGAATACTCTTGGAAGATGAAGAGGAATAAAAAATATGCGACCAAAGAATTTATGCAAAAAAGGAACTTATCAAAATGCGATGGTAAAGAGGATTTCTTTATCTAACTATTTATTGCGAATTTATCATATGCATGCTTCATTAATCCTTTTTGTATGCTTCATGTCATTTCTTTCATTTTTTAAGCTAAAAATTCGCACTTTTATGAAAGTATTTTGATGGAAAAAATTTTTTGCTCAACTTTTTTTCCCACTTTCGAAATTATAACTTTAACTAATTGATCAATTTAAAAAATTTCCTAAATAAAAATTCGCAAAAAAAAGCAAAAATTTAAAATTTCAGATGTTACTTATCGTTTATGGTTCTTCTAGTACCAAGCCAGTATAATGAAATGAAAAATGTCAGGAAAAAAACAATTTTTTTACTTTTCAAAATAATAGATTGCTATTTAGCTAAAAAACTTTTCACTAAAATAGATGATTAGTCAAATATAGCAAATCAAATATAAACTAACAACAAAAGGTAGAACAATCACCGAAAATTTCCTAATAAATAAATAGTAAAAGAATCATAAATCGCAAAAAAAAACTTATGTTGACTTTTTTTCTTCCATCATGGAAATGAGTTCAAAGAAACAAAGATTTCGAAAAAATCTGACTGGGAAACTAACAATGGCAATTTACCCGAAGCGATTTATAGGAAGCTATATATGATGTATGATGGAATGGTTTTAATAAAAAAATAAATAACTGGTCAACAGTTTTTGTTTTTTGTTAAGATATGGCAGAGGAAGTTTCTGTGATGTAAAAATCCCGAGCTAAAAAAAAAAAAAGATCAAAATAGTCAACTGACCATAATTCTAGCAAAAACTTTAGCCTTTTAAATTCATTTGGAGAATTTATAATAAATAATTATTGAGAAAACATATTGGTGTACATAGCTCTTTACTGCATATAAAAAAATCCCTTAGAAGAAAAATGCCCACAATTAACTTAAAAGATTTAATGATTTAATGTAAAAGGCCGAGTCAAAAATGATAAAATCCAATGACTAACTGGCTGATAACGAAGTTAATACAAGAAAAAAAGAATATTTCATTACTTCACGAAAATCTGAACGATATAAACAAATATTGAATCGAATTGAATTTATTTTGGTTCATTGAAAATTAAAATTTACCAAAATAAGGTAAAATTCGAGCATAAAAACTATAGAATTTCTCATGATATTAACTAATATTTTTGAAAGGATTATCACAGACAATTGCTTGCACTATCAGAACTAAATAGAGTAATGCAGTGGGTTGTTCACTATATCACTGAAAGGCAAGAATTCTGTTTTTGCACACGGCAAGAGTAAAAAGTTTGAGATAATACTGGTGGTCTACCTAGACATCCAGTCAAATGAAACTTCTTGGTAAAAAATCTTTCTAATCATGCTTATAGACACCTAATCAAATCAACTAATAATGAACCATTAACCATTTATTCACTTTTTTTCTTTTTATTATAATTACTATTTTAAATAAATAGAAATCTGGAATTAACAGCGCTAAAGGAATTAAATATTGCAGATTATAAATTTTCTTTCAAATGAAGAGCACTTTTTCGGTTGTTTGAAAACAAAGGAAATAATCAAAAACAAGGAATTTTTGGAAATGATGAAAGGAAAATGAAAAAGCTAATCATTCGACTCGATGAACACCAGAAAAAAAAGCTTATAGGCAAATTGTAATGTAATGCAAATTTTTAATGTGAAAACCAAAAGGAATGTATGAGACGAATTAAATAAACGACTTATCAACGAACTAAAAGTGAAGTTAAACCACGCAAATTGCTTTTTCCATTTTTTTATTTTGAAAAAGAATTTCTTCAGTTTCAATTTTATTCATTTTAAAACACTAAATTTGAGCAAAAAAAAAAAAATAGAATAAGCCTGATTAATTTCTATGTTTTTTCGCATTACCTGTTGATTATTCATGAAAACTGCCTCCGCAAAAAAAAAATTGTTTCAAAAAAAGAAATAAATTGAACTTTGAAAAATCTTTATAATATTTAACAAAATTATTTTTTATTCATTGTAGAAGAAGGAAAAGAATGAGTGACTTCTGATAATTTCAAGTAATGAGAGCTTTGAAAATGCCTAAATCCAGCATAGACAAAAAACAATACAGTGAGACAGTTGAAAAAGAAAAATTTTATTGATATTTCTCGTGCTATACCATATATCTCAAAGATAACGCTTACTAAAAAGATACTATTCATTTATGATAGAGGTGCAATTTGTCAATATGTTGAATCTGGAATGGTTTGAAAATTGTTTAAATGTTGGCTAAAAGAGGCCAAGAAAATGGTAGACCAGATAAATGGTATTATTGGACCAAAATATCGATAGATCTGGCAAAGGTTTAAAAGCCAGCAAAAGAGCCAATATGAAGATAAAAAATAGTGCTAAATTCTTAAACGTACAATATCCAATAGTAATCATTACTAACAGTTTGTACTTTAAATTAACAAAATGATATAAAATAATGTAAATAAGGAATAAACAGTATGATATCAAGATATGATAAGATATCTAATGATATCTAATTGTTTTTATTCAGCGATTAAAACATACTTGAGACTTTTTTTGGCCAAAACTTTTAATTATTACAATTAATTAAGTGGCAAAGAAAATTTGCATGCAATTGACGGACGAATTTTTATCATTCAAATTCTAGAAAATTGAGTAAATAACTTTTGAGCAAAATGGCCAATTCGAATACAGTATTAAAATTTTCAACTGGTATAAATGACCATCATCGTTTCATATTTCTTGTTTATAACGTCGAATGCTTTTATCTTATCTTAAATGATAAATTTCTATTAATAAAACTATTATAGATAGATAAATCAATGTCGGAAAATATTTAATAAATTTTAATAGTATGTTAAATAATATATAATAATAAACAATAATAAATTAATTAAATATAATTTTATTTATATTTAATATTTAAAAAACATCCAATATTTTATAAAGATCTAAGAAAAAAAATATAAATAACAATAAATATACAAAATATACAAATAATAAAAAATAAAATTGAAAAACAATTATATAAGATAATCAAAGATTATCTTGACCACTGTCGAAATCAAGCATAGTGGATTCTAAGTCCAATAAGAATAAATGTATAAAAATTAAATTCGGATATTGCTGAAAGTCCAGTTCTGCTCCTACTTATCGGATATTTGTTTTTTAAGAATCCTCACCATTATCGGCTAAACTCGTTCCGCTCACTTATCGCACTGGAAGTTCCTTGGCGATAAAAGTACAG